ATGGTACCCTATAACAGGATGTAGTTCCCTTCCTAATCTCTTTTAATTAGATCTATTTTTGTTTTGCTTTGTCTGAGATCAGGATTGATACCCTTGGTTTCTTTTTATCTTTTTTCTTTTTTTTTTTTAACTTTAGATGAAGAATAATATATTCTAACCCAGGCTTTTCCCTTTACTCTGTGTGTACCCCTCTGTTTCAAACTGATTCTTGTAAACAACATAATGTAGGATCATGGTTTTTTAATCCACTCTGCTATCTGCTTCCATTTTCTGGGAGAGTTCATCCTATTCACATTTACAGTTATGATTACTATCTGTGTCTTTCTTTCCATCCTATTTTCCCCTCCCCTGTTTATGCTTTTCTTTCTCCTTTTCTCCCTATCCCTTCTCACTAGAGTTTTGCTTTTGACCACTACTTCCCTCAATCTGCCTTCCCTTCTATCAGCCCTTTCCTTCCCCCCCCCTTTTCCCTTACTACTTCTTCACTCTGTTCTATCCCCACTCCCTTTTCTTCCCCCTTTCCCCTCCTACTCCTAGGGTAACTTAGATTTCTGTACTTCACTGAATATGTTATTCCCTCCTTGAGCCAAATCAGATAAAGGTAGGGTTCAAACAATGTTTATCTCCCTCCCTTCTTTCCCTCTATTGTAATGCTTTTGTGCCTCTTCATGTGATATAATTTACCATTTTTCTGCCTCCTCTTTTCCTCTTATCCCATTGCAATCCCTTTTCACCATTTAATTAGATTTTTTTTATCATCATATCCAAGTCAGTTTATACCCACACCCTCTGACTATGTATATCCCTTATAAATTTGGTAATACATATACAGTTCTCAAGAGACACAAGGAACATCTTTTCACATAAGAATATGAACAGTTTGTACTTATTAAATAACACATTTTTTTTTCTTCCTTGTATACATTTTTATGCCTCTCTTGAGTCTTGTATCTGAGGATCAAATTTTCTGTTCAGCTCTAGCCTTTTCATTAGGAAGGTTTGGAAGTCCCCTATATCATTGAATGTCTATGTCCTCTCCTCAAAGATCATGATCAATTTCTCTGTGTAGTTGATCCTTGGTTGTAATCCAAGCTCCTTTGCCTTATGGAATATCATATTCCAAGCCCTCCACTCTTTAATGTAGAAGCTGCAAGGGTCCATTTAATCCTGATTGTGGTTCCATGATATTTAAATTGTTTCTTTCTGGTTGTTTGGAGCATTTTCCCCTTTACGTGATAATTCTGGAATTTGGCTACAATATTCCTTGGCATTTTCAGTTTCAATGTAGGATCTCTTTCAGGAGATGATTGGTGGATTCTTTCAATGACTCAGGTTCTAGGACCACAGGGCAGTTTTCCTTGATGATTTCTTGAAAGTTGCCATCCGGGCTCTTTGCTTGATTGTGGCTCCGAGGTAAACTAATAATTCTTTAATTATCTCTCCTGGATCTATTTTCCAGGTAAGTTGTTTTTTCTAATGAGGCATTTTCTGTTTTCTTCTTTTTTTTCAGCTTTTTGATTTTTTGACTGATTCTTGATATCTCATAAAGTTATTAGCTTTCACTTGCCCAGTTCTAATTTTTTTTTTCACATTAAACTGTTTTAATAGTCTCAACATTCGGTGACAGATTTGTGGTCATTAAAAAAAAAAAACTAATTACTTAAAACTGCCATGAAATAAATGGTCTAGGAAACATTCTTTTCCTCCTGAAACTTTTATGATGCATTGTAATCATTAACCAGTCTTTTACTATTGAACTTAAATGGCCAATTAAGACAAACAGTTGTGAGACTGTTCTTCCACCGCTGATTAAGACTGGGGTGGCAGCTGTTGTACAGAACATTCATTCAGCCTTCTGGGCTTTCTGGGCAGACTTTGTGGCCTTGCCAGCTCCAGCAGCCTCCTTGTTAGCTGCCTTTATGGACCAACTGCAATAGTCTGCCTCACATCCTGAACAGCAAAATGACCCAGAGGAGGATGATTGGAGAAGCTCTGCACACGCATGGGCCTGCCTGGAACCATGTCAACAACGGCAGCATCACCAAATTTCAGGGATTTAGGGCCATCTTCCAGCTTCTTCTCAGAATGATGATCAATCTGCTCCTTCTGTTCAGCAATCTTGCAAGCAAGCAATGTGAACAGTGTGCCAATCCAGCACGGGTGCATAGCCAGCACTGAGTTAGCCTTGATGGTTCAGGATAATGATCGGTGCAGTGAAGCCAGCTGCTTCCATAGGTGGGTCATTCTTGTCATCACCAGTGACATTACCACAGTGGACATCTTTGACAGGCGTGTTCTTGACATTGAAACCAATGTTATCCTCTAGCAGAACCTTACTCAAAGCTTCATGGTGGATTTCAATATACTTTTCTTCAGTTGTAACATTGCCTGCTTTTAGAATACAGTCCACTTGACCGACAGGTACAGTACCAATACCACCAATCTTGTAGACATCTTGGAGGGGTAGATGAAGGGGTTTGTCAGTTGGACAAGTTGGTGGCAGGATGCAAGCCAAAGATTCAAGCAATATAGTTCCATTATCATTCCCATCCTTATTAGGCTTTCTATCCCTTGAACCAAGGCATATTAGAGCTGGGCTGCAGCATGTTGTCACCATTTCAACCTGAAATTGACACACAAGCTACTGTGTCAGGGTAGTGGCCAATTTTCTTAATATAAGTACTGACTTCCTTGACAATTTCCTCATATCTCTTCTGGTTGTAGAGGGGCTCAGTGGAATCTATTTTGTTTACATCAACAATCAGTTGTTTTGCACCTAGTATGTATGCAAGAAGAGCATGCTCACAGGTCTTCCCATTCTTTGAGATACCAGCTTCAAATTCACCAACACCAACAGCAACAATCAGGACAATACAGCCATCCTGAGATGTACCTGTAATCATTTTCTTGATGAAGTCTCAGTGTCCTGGAGCATCAATAACGGTCACATAGCACTTGCTGGTCTTAAATTTCCACAGGGAGATATCAATAGTTCATGCTTAAGTTCAGTCTTCAGCTTATCCAAGACCCAGGCATATTTGAAGGAGCTGTTTACCATCTCAACAGCCTCCTTCTTGAACTTCTCAATGGTTCTCTTATCAATTCCACCACATTTGTATATGTGGTGGCCAGTAGTGGTGGACTTGCCAGAGTCTTCGTGTCCATTGATGACAATGTTAATGTGAGTCTTTTCCTTACTCATTTTTTGTGGAGGTTTAGCAATGGTTTTCACAACATCTATTTTCTGGTAGCAAACCCACTGTGAAAAAGGGCCACAGCTGCAATTTTTAACAAATTGTTTTCTTCAGTTAGTTTTTGTACCTCCTTTTCCATTTGGCCCATTTTACATTTTAAGGAATTCTTCTCTTCAGTGAGTTTTTGTATTTCCTTTTCATTAGGCCAATTCTACTTTTTAAGGAGTTGTTTTCTTTAGTGTACTTTTTTCCATTATGCCAATTGTATTTTTAAGGATTTGCCTTCTGCAATAAATTTTTATTCTTTTTTTTCCAAGCTATTGAGCCTTTCTTATGTACCTCTCATTTTCCCCCAATTTTTATCCTACCTTTCTTACTTGACTTTTAAAATTCTTCTTGAATTCTCCCAAGAAGGCATTTTGAGCTTGAGACCAGTTCATATTCCCCTTCGAGGTTTTAGATGTGGGTATATTGACAGTGTTGTCTTCTTCTGAATTTGTGTTTTGATCTTCCCTGCCCCCACAGAAAGAATCTATGGTCATTGTCCATTTCTGCTGTTTGCTCATGATGTTTGCCAATATCCTGGCTTTTAAAGTTGAACTTTCCTGCTGAAACACAGTTGTCACTGACTCAAGCTTCTTATGCTGGAGGCCAGGGACCTAGACACTGGATTTTTGTTCTGGGGCCTCAGCTGTTGGCAGCTAGAGGATGAAGGGGTCTGACAGCTTACCTGGTGCTGAGTTGGGGTCAGCAACACTGAAGCTCTCAGGGTGGGAGTGGAGATCTGCCCCCTGGAGAATACCTGATCATCTGTGTTGCTCTGAAGCACCAGAGTATTTGGCTGCTGACAGACACCTGCACACCTGGAGTTGTGCTGAAGTACAGGGAGGTTTGGCTGCTGAAGGATGCAGCCTGCTGCTGCACATGGTGGTTTTCTGAGCTGGAGTCTCCCAGTTCCCTTGCCTGTGCTAAGACATTCAGGAGGTCTTGTTGTTGGTGCTTGCCTGATCTGCCACCCTGGTGCTCAGGATATCCCCCTGGTTTGCTGAGATGGGGCTTGCCACTGGCTTCCTCAGATGCCTCCTGTCCTGTACTGTTGCCCTTTCCATATTAATCCCCCAAGCTTCCCTGGATAAAAGACTGCTGCACCCAATCTTTTTGCTATCTCAGCTGTTCCAGGGTTTTCCCTGGGGTAATATTTTCTGGGTCTTTAGAGATCAATAAGGGAGAATAAGAGCAACTTACTGCTTAATCCACTATCTTGGATCTTGTAGGATTCTGGACATCAGTAATTTAAACACAGGATTAAAACTAGGCTTTACAGCCTTGACACTTGACACTTACTAGCTGTGTGACCCTGGGCAAGCCACTTAACCTCAATTTTCTCACCCCCCAAAAAAATACTTCAAAAAAAATCTAGATTTTAAACCCAGTCTCTGCCTCCGAATTCAGCGTTTTTCTCATCCAACTGTGAGAATCAATAATTTTGAGAATCTACTCCAATGTTTCTTCACCTTTTTTGTCATAGAGCCCTTTGGCAGTCATATGGTGAAACTTATTCTCTGTTTCTCAGAATAATTCTTTTGAAGTATAAAATAGCACATATAAGTTTACAAAAATACTTGGAATTATATGGAAATAAATTATTGAAATAAATATTTTTTGAATACCAACTTTATATACCATAGACCAAGATCTTTGTTCTACCATCTGTTTATTTTTTGTTTCACTTTCTTCTACCCCCCACCCCTGAAAAGATGGAAGCCATAGGGCCCCTTCAGGTTCATGGGAGAAAAATAAGTTTACCTTTGGCACATGATATCCTGCCACTGTGGTATCAACCGTGGCCACCTTGACCACGTTGAAAGGGAAAATATCACCCATTCTTTGAACCTCATGAACAGCTGCATTAGTGTAGGGCATAATCTCCTTATCAGCCATGGTGGGTTGCCTGGATTGACCAATCACCCTGTCAATCTCAGCTTGTATTTTGCCTGGAAAGAAAGAGAGTTTTTTGAGACTGAAATAATAGCTCACATTTATAGAGAGATTTAAAGTTTGCAAAACATTTTTATAAATATTATCTCATTTTATCCTCACAATAATGCCAGGAGGACAGTGCTATTATTATCATCATTTTGTAGATGAAACTGAGGCAGTCAGAAGTTAAATGACTTGCTCAGAGTCATATATCTAGGTAGATTTGAACAGTTTCTTTCCCCTCCCATATAATTTTCTCTGTTCATGTGTGAGAAGCCACAGCCAATTACATCCACCTGTGGTTGAATGAAAGTTTGGCTAGACACTTCACCAAAGGTGACAACACCTATGGTCTGGAAAAGTGGAAATTTGAAAAGTGAAGAGGAAGTCTGATAGAAGGGAGGGGAGATTAATGGAGGTCATGGCGAGAGGCAAAACCCTGGTGAGGAGGGACAGGGTAAAAGGAGGGAGAAAAGTATAAAACAGAGGGGAAATACAGAGTTAGTAATCCTAACTGTGAATGGCAATGGGATGAGCTCTCCCATAAAATGGAAACAGATAGCAGAGTGGATTAAAAACCAGAATCCTACAATATATTGCTTACAAGAAAAACATTTGGAACGGAGAGATACACATAGAGTAAACGTAAAAGTCTCAAGCAGAATATATTATGCTTCAGCTGAAGTTAAAAAAAAAGCAGTGATAGCAATCCTGATCTCAGACAAAGCAAAAGCAAAAGTAGAACTGATTAAAAAAGATAAGGAAGGAAACTACATCTTGCTAAAGTGTACCAAAGACGATGAAGTGATATGAATACTAAACATATATGCACTAAGTGTTGTAGCGTCTAAATTCTTAGAGGAGAGGCTAAATGAATTACAGGAAGAAATAGACAGCCAAACTATACCAATGGGGGACCTCAACCTCCTTCTCTCAGAACTATATAAATCTAACCAAAAATAAATGAGAAAGAACTTAAGAGTTGAATAGAATTTCAGAAATGTTAGATGTGATAGACTGTGGAGAAAATTAAAGAGGGATAGGAAGTAATATATCTTTTTTCAGCGATACATAGCATCTACTCAAAATTGATCGTGCAGTAGTGCATGAAAATTCACCATCAAACACTGAAGGACCAAAATATTAAATACATTCTTTTGAGATCATGATGTAATAAAAACTACATGTAAAAATGGCCATAGAAAGATACGCTAAAGTTAATGGGAAACCAAACAATCTAATCCTAAAGAATGAATGGATCAAGCAACAAATCATAGAAAACAATCAATAATTTAATCAAAGAGAATGACAATAATGAGACAACACATCAAAACACATGAGACGCAGCCAAAGCTCTTCTTAGGGGAAATTTTATATCTCCAAATGCTTTCATGAATAAAATAGAGAGGGAGGAAATTAATGAATTGGGCATGCAACTAAAAAAAGCTAGAAAAAGAACAAATTAAAAACCCCTATTTAAATATCAAATTAGGAATTCTGAAAAATCAAAGGAGAGATTAATAAAATAAAAAGTAGCAAAACTAATGAATTAATAAATACAACTAAGAGCTGGATTTATGGGAAAAAACAATGAAAATGAAAAATCTTTGGTTAATTTTATTTAAAAAAAAAGAAAGAAGAAAACTAAATCATCAGTATCACAAATGAAACAAGAGACTTCACCACTAATGAAGAGGAAATTAAAATAATACTTAGGAGCTATTTTGGTCGTGTGGGCCAATAAATCCAACAGTCTAAGTGAAATGGATCAATATTTATAAAACATATAAATTGCATAGACTAATAAGAAATAAAATATTTAAACAAACCCATGTTAGAAATAAAATTGAACAATCCATCAACAAACTCCCTAAGAAAAAATTCCAGGGCAAGATGGATTTATAAGTGAACTCTACCAAATATTTAAGAACAATTATTTCCAATACAATATAATCTACTTTGCAAAAATACGTGAAGAAGGAGTCCTGTGAAATTCCTTTTATTACACAAATATGGTGCTGATACCTAAACCAGGAAGAGCCAAAACAGAGAAAGAAAATTATAGACTAATTTCCTTAATGAATATGGATGCAATCATTTTAAACAAAACATTATCAAAGAAATTATAACTTATCTCAAGGGTAATACACTATGACCAGACAAGATTTATACCAGTAATGCAGGACTGGTTCAATATTAGGAAAACTATTAGCATAACTGACCATGTCAACAGTAAAACTAACAAGTCATATGATTATCTCAATAGATGCAGAGAAAGCTTTTGACAAAATACAGCACCCATTCCTATTAAAAATGCTAGTTAGCATAGAAGTAAATGCAGTTTTTTCTTAAAATGACAAGACTTAACTATCAAAACCAACAGTAAGCATTATATGAAATAGGTATATGCTAGAAGCCTTCCCAATACAATCAGGGGTGAAACAATGATGTCCATTATTCAATATTGTACTAGAAATGTTAGCTTTAACATTAAGAGAAGAAAAATACATTGAAGGAATTAGAACAGACAATGAGGGAAAAAAAGCAATCACTCTTTGCCGATGATATGATGGTATACTTAGAGAAACCTAGAGAATCAAGTGAAAAACTACTTGAAAGAACAATTTTAGAAAAGTTACAGGATATAAAATAAACCCACACAACTTATCAGCATTTCTATATGTTACCAACAAAGCCCAGCAGCAGGAGATAGAAAGAGAAATTCCATTTAAAATAACTGCAGACAATATAAATTATTTGGGAGACTATCTGCCAAAACAAACCCAAGAATTATATCAAAACAATTACAAAACTATTTTCACACAAATAAAATAAGATCTAAACAACAGGGAAAATATCAATTGCTCATGAGTATGTTGAGGTAATATAATAAAAATTATAATTGAGTCTAAATTAATTTATTTATTCAGGGCTATAACAATCAAACTACCAAAAAAAAATTTTATAGCTAGAAAATAATAGCAAAATTCATCCGGAAAAACAAAAGGTCCAGAATATCAAGGGAACTTATGGTAAAAAAATGCCAACGTTGGTGGCCTAGCTGTACCAGATCTAAAACTACATTATAAAGCACAATCATTAAAACTATTTGGTACTGGCGAAGAAATAGAGTAGTGGATCAGTGGAAGGTACAAACAACATCGTAGTCAACAACTATAGTCACCTACTGTTTGATAAACCCAAAGATTCCAGATTCTGGGATAAGAACTTACTATTTGACAAAAACTTCTGGGAAAACTGAAAAATAGTATGGTGCCCTATAATAAAATAAGGTTGAAATGGATTCATGATTTAGACATAAAGGGTGATTCCATAAGCAATTTAGGAAAGCAAGGAATACTTTATATGACCAAACATGAGACAGAGAGTATTGCAAGGTATAAAATGGATTATTTTGATTCCATTAAATTAAAAATATTTTGCACCAACAAAACCAATACAACGAAGATTAGAAGGAAAGCAGAAAGCTGGGAAACAATTTTTACAGCCAGTGTCTCTGACAAAGGTTTCATTTTTAAAATATATAGAGAACTGTGTTAACTTTATAAGAATACAAATCATTCCCCAATGGATAGAATGTGATCTTTTGTGCATCTTTTGCACCTTGGCAAAATTAAGGGTAACCTCTTGATGTGAGTTAGAGGTGAAGGAGACAGTAGTGGCTGAAGGCAACTAGGTGATGTGAGATACTGTTGTTTGTCATTTGTTCTTGAAGAGGACAATGACACCAGGAAAGTGATGCCATGACTTCCAAGTGAATGGGATTTAAATGAGGGAGGGCTGTGCAAAGTCACCAACCTCACTCTTTCCTCTGCAACCATCTAGATGCAGTGACAAGATATAGAGCAGAATGACTATTTGTGGCACATATTAGGTACTTAATAAATGTTCATTTATTGACTGAAATGCCTTGCTCAAAGTCTCATGACTGCTTAGATGCGAAGCCTGGACTAGAAAATAAACTTCTGACTCTTAATTCAATTGTCTGTCACCCCAGATCTTTGAAAATAAGTATTATTTTACTCTTTGTACTAATGTCCCCAGTGTTCGGCACATAGTAGTCACATAAGTACGTGATTTGATTTCCATGATGCTAAATATCTGCTTAGAATGCTACTTTGGGGTATTGCCTTGGACAGGTAGAAGGGATGTTCTATTCTGGGTAGTACTTTAAGGGGAATCTAAGTTCATCTAGTCCAAGGGTTTCCAAAGTGAGAATTGTGGCTGTCTCCAAGCAGTTATTGCTGTTTTTGGTCCATGGATCCTTATTCTGATCTTTAGTTTAAGGAAGATATGATACATGTCATAGAATAGTAGATAAGGAAATAGAAGTTTTGATCATGCCATGACTTTCAGAACATGGAGCTCTTGAGGGAGAGGTATCCCTGGAAATGGAGCCCTAGGCTGGAAGTCAGGGTGACCTGCATTTAAATCCCACCTCAGAAATTACCTATTTGTGGGGGCATGAGGAAATCATGTAATTTCTCTCAGCCTTGGTTTCTACATCTGTAAAATGAGGGAGTTGGACCTTATGGCTTCTAAGATACCTTCCAATTCTAAATCTATTAGGACCCTCTGTAGAATGAGTTAACAATGTATCCTTCACTTAAATATTCCTATTTGAAATCTATAAAGATTTGTCATATTTAATAGGATACAAATATATTTTAAAATGTTACTTTTTTTTTTTATCACATACCTTTTTCAATCAAAAATAGTTACACTCCTAGGGACCTGTAAATTTTCGGTTCTTCTAAGGTGATATGATCAGAAGCAAGGTGTTTACTCCTTTCCTGGCCTGTGCTCTGGTCTATGAGTGACCACAAGCATTCTTTTCTGCCTTGAAACTGTGAGAGGGATTCCCACTCCACCATGCCAATGCTCTTCCTGGCCCCAAGACTGCCACCCAGAACTGTGACCCAGATTTAAGCACAGGCAAAGGATTCTTGATGAAAAGACCAGAGCTGAATAGAAAAATTTACTTTAAATGCAAGACTCAAGAGAAGCATGAAAAGGTAAACAGCAAAGAGAAATCATAAGGGACTTATTAAAGTTGAACTGTTCACATTCCTAAGCAGAAAGATGATATTTGTAACTCATGAGACCTTTGTCAGTATAAAGGTAGTTGGAAGGAAAAATATATGGATAGATAGAGAGATAGAGAGAAAGAGAGAGAGAGAGAGAGAGAGAGAGAGAGAGAGAGAGAGAGAGAGAGAGAGAGAGAGAGAGAGATAGCATGGGTGAGTTGAAGGTGAAGGGGTGATATCTAAAAAATAAATTAATGAGAGAGAGAGGATTATACTGGGAAGAAAAAGGGAGAGGTAGAAAGGGGTAAATTATCTCACATAAAATAGACAAGAAAAAAGCTTTTACAGTGGAGGGGAAGTGGGGAAAGGTGAGTGGGAATGAGTGAATCTTATTCTCATTGGATTTGGCATAAGGAGGTAATAAGATACACACTCAATTGGGTAGGGAATCTATCTTAACCCACAGGAAAATACATAGAAAGGGGATGAGAGAGATGAGGGTGAGAGAAGGGAAGGCAGATTGGGGGAGAGGGTAATCAGAAGAAAACACTTTTGAGGAGGGACAGGGTCAAAAGGGAAAATAGAATTAATGAGGGGTGGGATAGGATGAAGGGAAATATAGTTAGTTTTTCACAACATGACTACTATGGAAGTGGTTTGCATAACTTCACATGTATAACCTGTATCAAGTTGCTTGCCTTCTCAATGAAGGTGGGTGGGGAGGGAGGAAGTGAGAGAATTTGGAACCCAAAGTTTTAAAAACAACTGTTAAAAATTATTTTTTACATGCAACTGGGCAGTAAGATATACAGCCAATGGAGTATGGAAATCTATCCTGCCCTAAAGGAAAATAGAAGGGAAAAGGGATAAGAGAAAGGGGAGTGATAGAAGGGAGGGCAAATTAAGGGAAGGGATTTTCAGAATGCACATTGTCTTGGGGTAAAGGAGGGGTGAGATGGGGAGGAAATTTGGAACTCAAAATCTTGTGGAAGTGAATGTCAAAAACTTAAAATAAATAAATTAAATAATTTTAAAAATGACCTTACATCATAAACAATTTAAACAAAAAAAAAATAGTTATAGTTCAGAATTCTATAGGTGTGCAAAGCCTGGTGCCATCACTGTACCTTGTATCTCTGGATAAAGGGCCATATATAGCAGTGCCCACCTCAAAGTGGTTGCAGTTGTCTCTGTTCCAGCCAAGAAGAGGTCCAGGGTACAGAAGATTATGTTTTTTTCATTAAAACTTGAATGGATGTTATCCTTAAATTAAAAAAGCAAGGATCAGTTGGCTAATCCAAAAAAAAGATCTCTGACCTCAAAAAATTGTCTCTCTGTAGGCATGAAGAGTTGCATCCTCATTGGAGTCTTGAAAAGGTTGAGGTGGCAGGTGCTTGGCTTCCCTTTGACCACCAAGAATACAGTAAATGTTCCTGAGAATGAGAACTCATATTTCTTTTTTTTATATTATTTTTTCTAATTACATGTAAACAGTTTTAAACATTCTTTTTACATAAAATTTTGAATTCCAGATTTTCTCCCTTCTTCTCACCCTTCCCCCTTACTAAGATGGTAAGCAATTTCATATAGGTTATGTATGTGCATTCATGTAAACTATTTCCATATTAGTCATGTTGTGTAAGAAGAAATAAAACAAAAGGAAGAAAACCACAAAATTAAAAAAAATAAAATGAAAATAGTATTCTTTGATCTGCATTAAGATTTCATCAGTTCTTTCTCTGGTTGTGAATAATATTTTCCATCATGAGTCTTTTGGACTTTTCTTGGATCATTGTCTTGCTGAGAAGGGCAAAGTCAATCGTAGTTGATCATTGCACAGCACTGCTGGTACTGTGCATGATGTTCTCATGGTTCTGCTCACTTTACTTTGCATCAGTTCATGCAAGTCTTTCCAGGCTTCACTGAAATCCACCTGCCCATCATTTCTTATACTACAATAGTATTCCATTAAATTTATATATAACAACTTGGTTATCCATTTTCCAACTGAGGGGCATTCCCTTAATTTCCAATTCTTAGCCACCACAAAAAGAACTGTCGTAAGTACTTTTTGCATGTGTCCATTCTTTTCCCTTTTTTATGATCTCTTTGGAATATAGACCTACTAGTGGTATTGCTGGATCAAAGAGTATACATTGATCAATTGCCTTTGGTCATAGTTTGAAATTGCTCTTCATAATGGCTGGATATGTTCACAACTCCACCAGCACTGCATTAATATTCCAACTCTCCCCCATCTTCTACAGTGTTTATCATTTGCCTTTTCTTTCACATCAGCCATTCTGAGGGGTGCTGTGTGGTACCTTAGAGTTGTTTTATTTGGCTTTTCTCTGATCAAAAGTGATTTAGACCATTTTTTTCATGTTAGTATCTCAGTTATAGGTAATGATTGTTGATGGTTTTGGACAAATACTACCAATCATTTTAAGGAAAGCTCCATTTATTACTATGCCTTTTTAAATGTTTTAAACAGGAATGGGTGTTGGATTTTGTAAAAATGTTTTTCTGCCTCTACTGAGATAATTAATTGATTTCCTTTGGTTTTGTTATTTATATTGTCAATTATGTTCATGGTTTTCTTAACATTGAGCCAGCCTTATAGTCCTGGTATAAATCCCATCTGGTCATGGTGCATTAATTTTGTGTTATATGGCTGTAATCTCCTTGCTATTATTGTATCTAAAATTTTTGCATCAATATTTATCAGGGAAATTGGTCTATAGTTTTCTTTCTCTTTTTTGGTTCCCCCTGGTTTAGCTATCTGCATGATATTGTGTCATAAAAAAATAATTTTGTAGGACTCCTTTTCATATTTTTCCCAAATAGTTTATATGGTATTGGAATTAATGATTCTTTAATTCTTCTTTCATAGAATTCACTTGCAAATTCATCTGGACATGGCCATTTTTTTTTCCTTAGGGAGTTCATTTATTGTCCAATTTCCTTTTTTCTAAAATGGGGTTATTTAAGATTTTTTTCATCTTCTTTTAATCTAGGTAATCTATATTTTGTAAATATTTATCCATTTCACTTAATTATCAGCTTTGTTTGCACATGATTGGCAAAATAACTCATAATTATTATTTTTTATTTCCTTATCATTTGGTGGCAAATTTACCCTTTTTGTTTTTGATAAGATTAATTTGTTTTTCTTCTTCATTTAATCAAATAAACCAATGTTTTATCTATTTTTTTTCTTTTTCACAAAACCATTTATGATTTTTATTTATTAGTTTCTTACTTTCAATGTTCTTAATCTCTCCTTTGATTTTCAGTATTTCCAGTTTGATGTTATCTGGGGATTTTTAATTCGTTCTTTTTCCAGCTTTTTTTGTTGCATGCCCAATTCTTTGATCTCTTCCTGTACTTTATTCATGTAAGCAATTAGAGACATACATTTCTGCCAAGTACTGCTTTTGTTGCATCCCAAAATGGTGGTATTTTGTCTCATTATCATAATTTTCTTTGTTGAAATTAATGATTGTTTCTTTGATTTGTTCTTTGACCCGCTCATTCTTTAGGATTAGATTATTTAGTTTCCAATTGATTTTAATCTATCTTTCCATTACCCCTTTTCAAGTGTATTTTTATTACACCATGATCTGAAAATGATGCATTTCATATTTCTGCATTTCTGCATTGGATTCTAAGGATTTTATCCTTTAATACATGGTCAATTTTTGTGTGAGTGCCATGTGCTGCTGAGAAAAGTGTACATTGTTTTCTATCCCCATTTATTTTTCTCCATAGATTCATCATATCTCAGTTTTCTAAAATTTTATTCATATCCATCAGTTCTTTCTTAGTCTTGCAAAGTGAAAGTAGAGGTCTTCCACTACTATAGTTTTATTGTCTACTTCATCCTGTAACTCATTTAACTTTCTCTTTTATAAAACTGGATGCAATACCATTTGGCACATAAATTTTTAGTTTTGATATTACTTCATTTTCTATGGTGCCTTTTAGCAAGACATAGTTTTCTTTCTTGTTTCTTTTAATTTGACCTATTTTTGCTTTGGCTTTTTCTTTTTTACTTTATTTATTTATTTTAGGCAATTGGGGTTAAGTGACTTGCCCAGGGTCACACAGCTAGTAAGTGTCAACTATTCTGGTCTGAGGTGGGATTTGAAGTCCTGACTTCAGGGCCGGTACTCTGTCCACTGTGCCACCTAGCTGCCCTTTTGGCTTTTTCTTAGATCATGATTGCTACCCTTTCCTTTTTTTTTTTTTAAATTCAGCAAGGAGCATAATATATTCAGCTTCAGCCCTTTACATTTACTTTGTGTGTGTGTGTGTGTGTGTGTGTGTGTGTGTGCATGTGCGTATGTGTGTGTTTGCTTCAGATATGTTTCTTTTAAATAGCATAGTGTAAGATTCTGTTTTTTAATGCATTTTGCCATATACTCCTCTGCTGTACTGGAATCATCTGACCTATTAGTGCCTGTTGCACCAGACTTCAGGGGCTGGTAGCTTACCTGCTGCATCAAGGCTGCAGGCCTCACATCTTGTCTGCTGTGCTACTTCTCTGCTGAGCTGGGGTCCTGATCTGTGCTGGGGCTAGGGCCTCCCACTGGCTTGCACTGATGGTGCCTGCACTGGGCTGTGCTCTCATTTTACTCAAGAGACAGGCCTATCCTGCAGTCCTAAGTAATTTTGGATTGTAAAGTTGTTTGAGCCTTTCCTTTTGTGGATTCTTTCACTCCAAAATCCATTTTGTTGCTGGATTTAAAATTATATCCAAGGAAACTAGAGAGAGCTTTGGCAACTTCTTGCCTTTTTAGCACCATCTTGATTCTACCTGTGAGACTCCTATTTCCATTGGGTTGGGAGGCTTATTGAGAGTAATTTTCTCACCAAATCCATGCAGGTAGGTAGGATATGTGTTTTAGAGGTGAAAAAACTAAATCTCAGAGACATAGGGGAATGGTTCAGAATTACAGGACTAATAAATGAAAGAACTGGATAGGTAGAATATTTTAATGTCACGGATGAGAAAAGTGAGATGCAGAGATGAATTCAAAGAAATGAAATATTAGAGCCAAGGCTTAATCACAACCAGAGTAGGTTTTAATGAAAAAGAGTGCAGATGCCCTCAAAGAAAAGCATATGTAAACAAACAAACAAACAAATAAATAAATAAATGAAAAATAAATAGTAAATTAATAAACAAATACAATGGGGAAAAATTTGGTACAGGCAGCTTTAGAAGCCAGGAGAGACAGACTTGGAGACAGAAAGAGCTGAGTTTAAATCCAGCCTCAGATTCCTAATAGCTGTGTGACTGGAGCAAATCAATTAACCTCTCTATGCCTCAGTCCCCCCCCATAAAATCAGGGGGTTAAACTCAATGATCCCTATGATCCCTTCCAGTTCTACATCAAAACTGTGAGCTTTTCACTAGCAAGCTCCATTACATCTACTCTGTACCTCCCAAGGTTGTCACTGAGGAAATATATTTACATTATTAGGCAGATTTAAAGTTTGGAGAATTTCAGCACACTTATCCCCCCAATTCTGCACTTTATTATTGTTTTTAACGCACACAACACCCACTTTCTGTGTTGTTTTCATTACCTTGGACAGCTCCTTCAGGTAAGCGTCAATGTAGTCCAGGGTCTCCTCTGGGTTCAGGTCTTCCTTGTGTTGTTGGATCACATGTTCTACAAAAGTCTCTAGCTTTTTCCATTCTCTAAAGAGCTGTTGGTGAGATCCTGGCAGGAATTTCATTATCGAAGGAAACATATTGAAGAGCTAAATAACATAAAAGGGGGTGTGGGAGGAGGAATGAGTGTCAACAGCTAGGCTGCCTATCTCTTCATCTTCCTCACCCCAAGTCAGGCCAGGGTTCTTGAGCTTATTTTGGGTCATGGAATTTATCTTAATCACATGTCTAACCACTTAATTCCATGTCTTACTACTTCTGAAATCCACTCTCCCTATAACCATAGTTTGTTTTTTTCTCTCGCATACTGCTTCTCTCCTAACTCCCAAGCTAACATCCAACCATCTCTTGTTTCATACATCAGCCCCTTGGCAATATCCTGATGCACCTAAATAACTCTTTCAAGATGTCACCAATCTAGGCAGCCTCATAACTTGCAAAAAAAAAAAAAAGAGGATGAGAGAGATTCTTTATAGGGAAATTGAAAGCATTTGGGTTTGTATTTCCCTGATAGCCCCACTGAATTCCCTTCTGAATTTATGTTTTGCTCCTTTTAGTGAAATAATATGTACTCTCATTCACATTTTCCCTCATTTTCTTCCATAGCCAGATTCCTGAGAAGTTAACAGAAATTTTCAGCCAGTGACTCTTTTCCTGAGGCTCACTCACTGACCAACTAAGAGGGAGAGTAAATGGAGTGCTGGAGTAAGACTCAGGAAGACCTGAGTTAGAATTTTGCCTCACATGTGTTAGCTGTGAGGAAAGTCATTAACCTCTCACAACCTCAGTTTCCTAATCCATAAAATGAGGGTAATAATGACTCAAAGGGTCATTGTGAGGGATCTAAAGAAATCAGCCAATCAACAAATATCTATTAAATACTTATGATAGTGCAGGCATTGCATTAAGTTCCAGTCACACAAAGGAAGGAAGAAAAAGGCCAGTCCCTGTCCTCAAGAAAATCACATTTTAATGGGAGAGATGCCATGGAAGTAACTAGATACATGCAAGATATATGCAGAGTGGTTGAAAGGTAATCTCACAAGAGAAGTCACTAGCAGCTAGAGGGACTGGGAAACCATCTTGCTGTAGATGGTGAAATTTGAGCTGATTCTTGAAGGAAGTCAGGAGGGGAATGTGAAGAGGTAGAACATTTCAGGAATGAGGGACAGCCAGTGCAAAGGTACCTAGGTGGGGGCTAATGTATATCAAGCTGTTCACAAACCAAACATGTAAGCACTTAAATTATTCATGTCTCTCTGATTGTGTCTCTTCTCTATATCTGTCTCTCATTCTGTTTCTGTAGCTGTCTGTTTATACCTTTTGTCTCTATCTCTGAACCTCCTTCTCTTCTTCCCTCCCTCCATTCTGCCTTCATTCCCTCCTCCCCATCTCTCTCTTTCTCTCTCCCACGTCTCCTGTAGAGGTTAGGGTTAAATTAGTGGTTTCCCTCAAATTCTGCTCAAGATATAGCTTCTCCATGAAGTCTTTCTCGGTCTTCCTGGCTTTTAAATCTGCCTCTACCCAATATTCCCCCATTGTACTTATTTATTTATTTATTTATTTACTTACTTACTTACTCACTTATTTATTTATTTATTTAGTTAGTTAGTTACATACATACTTATTTGAGGGCATGTTGTTTCCTCCCACAAAATGTAAACCACCTGAAGTCAGGGGCTGTTTCATTTTTGTCATTGTATCCACATCTCCTAGCACAATACCTAGAACACAGCAGGTGCTTAACAAATGTTTGTAAATTAATAATCTTGGCACATATCTGAGAAAAAATTAAAATGTATAGAATTTTTTTCTGATAATTTGTAGATCACAGTGTTCTGGAGAAGCATTGGATCTCCCAGGCATATTCTTTCATATCATTTTTTATAAAAATCTAATTTCTATCCTCTTTCCTTTTCAATCTCTTTTACACAAGCTGATTTGGCTCCTGTCAACTTCTCAAAGTCATGTTTGTTTCTTTTCCCCATGAAGGAAATACATGGCTGAATTGAGGTTGAGCCAGCTCTGCTGAGGAAGGGATGGTCTATTACCTGACTCTCCCACGTTCCTGAGAGGATAATAACATTATCCAAACTCTTCAGCAGCTCCTGGAACTGAGAATCATGGTACTCAAAGCGATGCCCAAAAGTTATGGAGCAGATGATATTGGAAACAGCATTTTTGATCTGAAAGTTGGGGTCAAAAGGCTGTCCTATTGACCAGAAGAGAAAGAGAACAGGCTATTCCTCATTTCACTTATGTTCTATTAGAGGAACCAACAGAGGTTTCTACTTTTTTCTCTTAAACACTTTTTTCCTCACCTTCTCCCCCTCCCGACTCACCAGCACACATCTGCTTTATTATTATTGTCTATATTCAACTATTGCTTCAATAGATGTGAGAAGGGGAAAAAAAAGAAAAGAACATGTCCAATTTTTAACGTTTTAGTCAAGACTTGGGATGTCATTGGCATATTATGTTTCAGCATAGGTTACCTATGTGGCTTTGGGCAAGTTACTTTATCTGTCTTTGCTTCCATTTGTTCATCAGTAAAATGAGAGGTTTGGACTAGATGACCTCTGGGGGCCCTTCCTGCCTTTATTTAAGATTCTATGTCTGATATAGTATGTGCAAAGATGTGCCCATCTGTGTAATGGGCATGGGCACACATGTAAATGTGTGTCCATAGATGTATGTGTTCATATACCAATACCCATGACTATATACTCCTATGGACTACTTGCATGCATGTGGGTAGTAGAGGTGAAAATACAACTGGTGATACTGGAATTAAAAGAAAAGGTGTGAGACGGTGAATAAGGAAGGGAGGCAGTGTAAGGTAGATCATAAGGTACTGGACCTGGGGCCAGAAAGACCCAGCCTACCTCACACATTTACTCAAATCCTACTTCAGGCATTTACTATCTGGGTGCATTAGTTCTAGTGCCTTCCCACTGTTGATTATTTCCACTTTCTCATGTTTATGTTGTACTTGTGCATGGATGTTTGCATGTTGTCTCCCCTCTCCTCCCTTAGACTAGGAACTCCTTGAGGACAGGGACTCTCTTTTTCCTTTCTTTGTATCCTCAGGATTTAGCACAGTGCCTGGAATATAGTATGCACCTGATAAATACATATTGACTGACTAACCTTGGGAAAGTCACTTAACTGCTCTGTTGTGCACAACTAATTCAGGTCACCACAAGAGCCAGGATCCTATACTAACTTTGAAGGGATAAGACCAGCTTAACCTTCTATCTCGAATGCACATTGATGAGGCAGGAGACAAGATGGAAGCAACTCTGTTTATTTTTAGCAAAGCACTTACTTATATAGTAAAATAACCAGGAACTCTTTCTCAAGTTACAATGACGTATAAGCCCATGCTGTGCTCAAGGACAGTGCATGCACATCCTGTGCACTTATCTGACTCCAATCCCAGAATAGACTGTTAATGACCATATAATAACTAGGGGAGTTAAAGATTGTTAAAGATCCATACAATGGAGCACTGAACCAGGTGACTTTTGGTCAGAGATCAGCACTGGAGAGGGACCTCCTCCGTCAGTGAGACCTCATGAACAGCCTGTGGCCCTCTACATCCTTACAGATCCCCAACACTGCTCCACTCCTCAGTTTAGTTATCTGCAGAATGGGGGGGGGAGGGTTGGATTGCTGGGCTCCAAGATTTATTCATACCTTAAATTTATGATGATAAGAAGAAGCAACAGAAGAAGAGAAAGGGAATGTAGAATGAGGATAATAGGAGGAAGAGAAGGGAAAAGAAGAAGCATAGAAAGCAGAGGAATGATGAAGAATGAATGTCTATAATAACAATATTGTGAAGAGAAAGATAACTTGGGTAGACTTAAGAGCTTGTTTCAATGCAGTGCCAACTATAATTCCAGAGTATCAATGATGACATCTGCTACCCACCTCTTGAGAGACAGGTGATGGTCTTAGGTTATACAATGAGATATATCTTTCTGGGAATGGCCAATGTAAGAATTTGTTTTGATTGACTGTGATATTTGTCACTAGGGTTTGGTTTTGTTTTCTTTTGTTTTCCAGTGGGAGGAGGAAGAAAGAAATAAAATAAATGATTAATTGAAAAACCATCAAAATTTAAAAAAATCAAGACAGTAATATGTATACCTATATGTGTATATATGCATATGTATGTGTGTGTGTGTGTATATATATATGTATTTTATATATATATATGTACATATACATATATATAGATATAGATATAGATATTTCTCCCTAAGAATTAGGAAGAGTAGAGCAAGGCAGAAAAGAAAAAAGGAATAAGAAGGAAGATACAGAGAAAATGAAATGGATTTAGTAAGTAGAAAAGAAGAAAAGTGATTAGGAAAAAGAAAGAGTTAGAGAAGGGTAGCAGGAGAAAAAAGAGGCAGATGTGTTGAGGGGGGTGTATAGGGAGTTCCTAGAATTGACAACCAAGACAATGCTCCATGTGTAGTGAAGAGTTGAACCATGTAGGGTCTATGTGTTATTGGCAGAACATAATTATAATGGCATACAAGAAAATGAACCATCGAGTGTTCCCTTCTTTGCTTACTGCATCATTTCTTCCTGGAGAACTATGTTGGGTCTTTGAAAACATTCCCTGGAGGGGATTCTGGGAAGATGGCAGAGTAAGTCTGAAAACTTTCAGCTCTCCAAATTTCCTCTCCAAAAAAGGTAGCACATTGCCTCAGAGCAGCAGAAATAAACACACTATAAAGCAGTTGTTCTCCTAAGACAATTTGAGAAGATCACAGGAAAGACTCAACCTCCAGGGGTAAAGGTGTGACCTGAGTAAAGTGCAAACACCTCCAAGATGACTCCGTAGAATCAAAAAAAAAAAAACTCCTGGGGGCAGCTGGATTGAGAGGCAGCCTCAGCCTTAGAAACTTTCATTTTTCAGACAGTTGTGTGTATGGGGGGGGGTATGATGGCTCTGTAGAAGATTAAAGCTCCTTCCACTTTTGAGGGATGCCAGGCACAACTGTGTTGAATAAATGCATCCTGGGCTATGGCTATAGAAAGAAGAAGCCAGAACATACCTGGTAAGTATAGTAGCAAGGGACAGGGCTCCTGGTGGCTGTGGGCACTTGCAAGAGAGTAGAGTACATAGTTTCAGTTCTGGGTCAGAAAGGACAGTTGTAGTTAGCAGCCACCAGGGAACCACAGGGAGGAAGGTAATTTGTGGGCCAGTGTGGGTGTGGGGCTCTAGCCCTGGCTTGGGAGAAGAGGGGAGAGCCCAAGGTAGGGCCCCAAAATAGACCTCAGAAAATAACACTAAGATACATTTGAGACTTTGGGCATCATTCCCCATACTTTTGGACTACAACTTGATTATATCAATAACTTCTAAAAAAAAAATAAAATAATAAACAGACAATAAATAAGTAATTGAGTGAGTGAGTGAACAAAGGAGAAGGAACCCAACCATAGGTAGTAACTGTGGGCATAGAGAAGATCTGGGATTATACACAGAAGAAGATAATGGAGCTAAAAAAAAAGACAATCCCTTTTTAATAAGAAATTTCAAATGGTCCCCAGCACAAAACCAAAAGACAGAGAGAGAGAGAGAGAGAGAGAGAGAGAGAGAGAGAGAGAGAGAGAGAGAGTTCTTGGAAGAACTCAAAAAGAAGTTTAAAAATCAAATAAGAAAGGTTGACAAAAAAGAGCAATCCAAGAAAATCAAGAAAATTATGAAAAGTCAACCAACTTAAAATAGAGAATCAAAAACTTAAGAAAGAAAATATTTCCTTGAAAACTAGAATTTGGCAAGAGTAAGCTAATGAAGTAACACACCAAGAAATTATAAAACAAAATCAAAACAATGAAAAAAATAGTAAAGAAAATGAAACATCTCATTAAAAAACTGATCTAGAGAACAGATCAAGGAAAAATAATATAAGAATAGTTAGACTACCCAGAAATATGATTAAAAAATGAGTCTTGATACAATATTACAAGAAATTATCAAGGAAAATTGCCCTGAAATTCTAGAACAAGAAGGCAACTTAGAAATAGAAAAAAAGTCCACACATCACCACCTGAAAGAAATCACAGCAGGAAAACTTACAGGAATATCATGGACAAGTGTCAAAGCTCCCAGGTTAAGGAGGAAATATTGGAGGCAACAAGAAAAAAAAAGTTTAAATATCACAGAGCTATAGTAAGGATTAAACAAGACCTAACAGCTACTACATTGAAGGACCATAGGTCTATGGAATACTATATTCCATAGAGCTTAAGACCTGAGGTTCTGACCAAGGCTAACTTACCCAGCAAAATTAAATATTATCCTGAAAGAAAAATTGTACATTTAAGAACTGAAAGACTTTCAGGTTTTTTTATGACAAAAATGCTAGTAATTAAGGGAAATTTTGACATATGATATCCAGGAGAAATATAAGGGCAGACATTAAAGACCAAATGTAAGAGATTCAATAAGGTCAACTTGCTTACTTATGTGTGAAAATATATGACTGTCATTTATATTTTGTGTGTGAAAAAAAGGCTTGGGCTGATCTAAGTATGATGGGGTGATTATAAAAAAATAAAATTGTGTTGGGAGAAATAAAAAGGAGTAATTGAGGCATAAAAGGAAAATATTAATACAGAAGAAGCTAGTAAAGTAGGAGTGTGGGGAGTGCTGGAAACTTACTCTAATTGGGAATGGGTTAAAGAGAGAAAATATGTATTATATATATATGTATATATGCATATATGTATGTATATGTGTGTATGTATAAGGCTATAAAAGTCTTTTAAATTACAAAAGAAATAGGAGGGTATGGAATAGGGAGGGGGGAGAAGATAAGAGAAAGACTTTTAGAGGACTGGGTAGATTAAGGAATAGGAGGGCAAGATGGTGGTTAGAAGTAAAGCAGAGAAGTGAGGAGATATTGGGTAAACAGGGTGAGAAGGATAGTGAGGAAAAATAAGAAGGAAGTAAATACACAAGCAATTGTAGCTTAGAATGTTAATGGAATGAATTTACCCATAAAATGGAAATAGATAGCATTGAAAAATTGAATTCAACAATATGTTGCTATCAGGAAACATTATAAAAATGAGAGACAGACAAAGAAAAGATAAAGGGCAGTTGTAGAATTTATTATTTAAAAAAGGAGGGATAGTAATCTTGTCTCAGACACAATTAAGGTATATTTAATCAAAAGTGAAAAATAAAGAAACTATATTGTGCCAGGAATATTATTCAATGTAGTTTTAGATCAATTAAAATGCCAGATAGTATAAAATACCTGATTATACCTGTCAAAACAAAACAGGAATGATATGAACATAAACATAACACACTTTTTTATACAAATAAATTTAATTTAAATAATTGAAATAATATTTATTGTTCATGAGTAGGTAAAGCCAATAAAATTTTTAAAATGACAATTTTACCAAACTATTCAACATCATCCCAATTTTAAATTGCCAAAAATTATTTTAGTGTTTAGAAAAAATATATAAAGTAAAGTTCATTTGGAAGAGCATTAGGTAAGGAACTTCAAAGAAACCAGGAGGAAAAAAGATATAAAGAAAGTAAATTCAGAAGTATCAGACAATAAACTATATTATATTACTTTAAATTTAATGTTTCTTGTATAAATGAAATCTATGTAGTCATAAATAGAAGGAATGAAGAAAATTGGGGGGAAAACTTTCATAGATAAGATCTCAGATAGGATGTGATTGAGTTGAAATTCTGCTGTGATATAAGAAGTGATGAGATGGTTGATGTAGAAAAAGATGGAAAAACTTGGACTTTTGAAGAAAGATGCTATCCACTGTGAGAGACACAGATGACAGGTGGAAAAAAGCACAAGATGGTCTTACATATATGTATATGAATGTATATATTTATATGTATCTAGGTATATGTATATATGTATATATGTGTATTCATGTATATATGTATATGTGTCTATATATCCACACTTAATTGTGACCTTCCTAAGAATGGGGTGGGGGGGAGAGGAAAAAATAAAGTAAAAAGTACACAGCAGAGAACAAAAGAAAGGAAGGGAGAAATAAATAAGCAAAGAGAAGATGAGCAACTTTAAAAACAATATCTAGTACTTATTACATAAGTTTTCTTAAAATGGAAATTTATTATTTTATATTGAATCCTCTCCTATGGTCTGCTATGCACATGGAAATTTTTTTCTCCTTTTTTCATTTTGCATATAAGTTTAAAATAAAAGTTATATTGAAAACATTCCTTGAAGGGTGTGGGGGTATTTTGCCTGTCCCCAGTCCAGGGATGACGTCTCTTCCCCTGCTCCTTCCACCCACAGTTACAAATTCTCTTTAATGATCATGTGGCCAAAAGGACAATCAGAGGCAATTGAAAATATCTCTGCCTGACCAGTGCTCACCTTTTTCTTCCCTGATAGCCTCAGTGAGATACCTGCCCTCCTCCCGCATGCGATCTTCTAGGGTCTTCTTTCCCAAGCCAAAGTTCCTTAGTGTCATTAAGGCGAATCTTCTTTGCTGTCTCCACCCTTGGCCATTAGACATGATTAAGCCTAAATAATAACAATAACAACAACAACAACAATAATAAAATAACAACAACTTATATCAATACTTCAAAATATCTGTAATTTTTCTGGTGTGGTTATTCCCTCCACCAGCAACGGAATTCAATTGAACAGGCACACTTGAAAAAAAAAAGCCGAAACATCTCCTATGTGCCAATCACTGTGCTGAGTATAGGAATAGAAAAATGCAGTTGTTGCTCCCAAGGAACTTACACAGTAATTGAGGAAATACCACTTAAAGTTCAACTGTAGGGTATATGGAAATATCTGGAAGTCCTAAAGACAAGGCAGAGAGAGATGTCAAGGCCCAGAGGTCTTCAGGATCTATAAGCAGGCCATATGTCCTGGTTCTATAACTATGAACTTCTGATTTCATCAGAGATGACTGGCTGTTGGATGAGTTTCTGCTTTGAGAAGCCAGCTATGGACAGGAGGAGGAGCCCAAGTTTTTATCTGGATGGTCAGATCCACTTTGAGCAGCCTAAGCCATCTCATGTGGTCCTTGCTGACTTCATCAGTGTCATGGTCCACACAGGGCAGTGATACCTTGGCATATGGGTGCTGGATATGCCACAAGCAGGCTGGTTCCCCCCTTTGCTTGATGTCATCTGGAACTGATAAAGCCATTCTACCTTGCTGACAGTAAGGTATTAAATAGTCATCCTTATATTTCTCTACCCAAGAATGGGGGTAGTGGTGGTAGAAGAGGGACCTGGGGATACTTCTTTCCCAGGAAGTATCTTTTCCATAAAGAACTTGGGTACCAAAGCATAGTTTTTGGAAGATGATGAAAGATGGAATTGTTTAGAGATGTGTTCCTTTTTAATGACAGGGGATAGGTCAAACTCTTTCTGTATAACTAACTAGACCAACAGGAAAAAATAGAGTGGTCCTTCCACAGAGACTTCTAACTGAGTAAAGAAAAGGGGAGAGAGGGTAATAAGCATTTATTAAGCACCAGCTATGCACTAGACACTATGCTAAGCATTTTATAAATACAATCTCATTTGATCCTCACAACAACTCTAGGAGGTAGGTACTTATTATTATCTCCATTTTACAGTTGAGCTAAGTCTAGCACAGGCCACACCAGCACCGTCACAGCCATAGGAGCGGGTCTTAGGAGCCACTGAATCAGCAGCAGCAGTGGCAGTTTCCAGAGCTCTCAGCCCACAGATAGTAAGGGGATCAAACAATTGGTCAGAAGGAGATTACAGAAGTCTTTTTGCTAGCACTGAGGCAGGACTCAATTTCTTTGCTCATGTTTGGATCTAGGTCATAGTCCTAGGTGGCAGCCCCAGGGTGAGTAGAAGGACTAGCATAGTAGAGCTTACAGCCACAGTGGAGAGGGTACCCTCCTCATGGTTCCAGGGCAGAAAAGAGAGCTTTTTGTCACTCAGATCACAGCACAGGCCAGGAGAGTAGTAAACACTTCTCCTTAGATCATACAACTTTGGAAGAATTAAAAACTTAGAGATCCCTAGATGTATCTCTGAAAACAGCTGCGCAATACCCCTGAAGCTTGGGCCAGTGTGCCCTCCACCTTGGAAATGGAGCCCTACGTTAACAAAGATTTAAAAGTCAAGTAACAGGCTGGGAAAAGGAGCAAACTACAACAAAAAAAAACCCCTTTGAGTATTGAAAATTACTATGGTGAGAAGGAAGATCAAAACACACATCCAGAAGAAGACAACAAAGTCAAAGCTCTTATGTCCAAAGTCTCCTAGAAAAATCTGAATTGGCTCAGGCCATGGAAGAACTCCAAAAACATTTTGAAAATCAAATAATAGAAGTAGAGGAAAAATTGAGAAAACAAATGAGAGTGATGCAAGAAAATCATGATAAATTAGTCAACAGCTTGGTAAAGGAGACACAAAAAAAATATTGAAGAAAATAACAACTTAAAAAACAGAGTGGGCCAAATGATAATACAGGTCCAAAAATTCAGAGGAGAAGAATGCCAAAAGGCAGAACTGGACAAGTGTAAAAGGAGGTCTAAAAGCTCAGTGAAGAAAACAATTCCTTAAAAAGTAGAAGTAAGTAAATGGAATTTAATGACTTTATGAGAAATTAAGTAATAGTAAAACAAAACCAAAAGAATGAAAACATAGAAGACAATGTGAAATATCATGGAAAAACAACTGACCTAGAAAATAGGTCCAGGAGAGGTAATTTAAAAATTATTGATCTACCTAAAAACCATGATAAAAATAAAGTGTGTAGTCATCATCTTTCAAGAAATAATTAAGGAAAACTGCCTTGATATTCTAGAACCAGAGGGTAAAATAGAAATTGAAAGAATCCACCAATTAGCAATCACCTCCTCAAAGAGATCTCAAATGAAAACTGCCAAGAATATCATAGCAAAATTCCAGACTTCTCAGGTCAAAGAGAAAATATTGCAACCAGCCAGAAACAATTCAGGTATGGTGGAGCCACAATAAGGATCACGCAAGATTTAGCAGTTTCTACATCAAAGGATCAGAGGTCTTGCAATATGATATTTCAGAGGGCAAAGGAGCTAGGATTACAACCAAGAATCACCTACCCAGGAAAATATATAATTCTTCAGGGGAAAAATGGATATTCAGTGAGATAGAGATGAAACATTCTTGATTAAAAGACCAGAGCTGAATAGAAAATTTGACTTTCAAATACAAGACTTGAGAGATGCATAAAAAGGTAAAAGGGAAAGGGAAATCATAAGGGACTTAATAAAGTTAAACTGTTTACATTCCTATATGGGAAGATGATATTTATAACTCATAAGACCTTTCTCATTATTAGGGGATTTAGAAGGAGTATATGTAGACAGAGGATAAAGGTGTGAGTTGAATATGAAGGGATGATATCTAAAAAATAAAATTAAAGAATGAGAGAAGAATATACTCAGAGAAAGATAAAGGGAGAGATAGAATGGGGTAAATTACTTCACATAAAAAAAGCAATAAGTTTTTACATTGCAAGGGATGATAGGAGAGGTGAGGGAGAGCAATTGAACCTAACTCTCATCAAAATTGGCTCAAGGAAGGAATAACATACACACACAATTGGGTATAAAAATCTATCTTACCCTACAGGAAAGTAGGAGGGAAAAGGCGTAAGAGAAGAGGGAGTGGGATGATAAAAGGGAGGGCAGATTCAGGGAGGAGGTGTTCAGAAGCAAAACATTTTTGAGGAGGAACAAGGTGAAAGGAGAGAGAGAATAGAAAAAAAAACAGTGGCAGGGAAATAAAATGGAGGGAAATACAGTAAGCAATAGTAACTGGAAAAAAATTGAAGCTAATTTCTCTGATAAAGCCCTAATTTCTCAAACATATAAAGAATTGAGTTAAATTTATAAAAATAAGGGCCATTCCCTAATTGACAAATGATCAAAAGATATGTTTTAGATGAATTAACCAAAGCTATTTATAGCTTTATGAAAATTATTATGATGAAAAATGCTATCCATCCCAAGAAAAAGAGATGATGGCATCTGAACATGGTTTCAAGCATCACTTTTTTTAAAAACTTTTTTTGAAGGTTTTTTTTTTGTGTGTGTTTCTCTGTTTTCTTCCACATCATGATTATTATGGATGTGTTTTGCATAACTACACATGTATAACCTATATGAAATTACTTAGCTTCTCAATGGAGGAACGAGGTGAGGAAAGGAAAGTATTTGGAATTCAGTTTTAAAAATGAATGTTCAAAATTGTTTTTAAATGTTACTGGAGAGAATAAAATACTAAATAAAAACAAAATTAAATAAATAAAAATAGAAAAAGAGTGAAAAGATGCTAAAAAGATGGTTGCACCCTTAACAAAATGAAAAAGGAAAGAATCAATTGAAATGTGTCTAGGCCAATAGAATCATGGGAACTCACAGTGGTTGGAGATTTCATATTATACAATTTGATAGACAGGTTCACCCCAGCAACCTGAAATAAGTCATAAGTTATTGTTATGGTAAAAGAAACGAGGAGCTAGTAGAAAGTCAGAAGAATTGCATTGAGGGTGTCATGCAGAAGAGTGTCTGGCCACAGAAGGTAACACCAGGATAAATCAGAGAAAGATTTAAGGAGAAATGAAGTTGGAGGAAAGGACAAACTTTCGACCAGTTAGAATTATTCTAAAGTGTAATGGACTTATTTGAAAGGTGGTGAGATCCCGTCCTTGGAGGTCTTCAAGCAGAGTCTGGATGACCATTTGTTGGCAATGTTGAGAGGGGATTCCAATTCAGGTCTAGGCAGTCTTGGGCAGTTGCTGAGGTCACTTATGCCTCTTAGATATCATAATTATCTCAAATGTCAAAGTATCTACCCTGAGCCATTCATTCATTCATTCAACAAGCATTTATTAGGGATCGAATATGGGAAAAGCCTTGCATTAAGTGATAATAGAGATACAATCAGTGTTAGACTGACTGAGCTCTATTGAAAATTAAATTCCCATCTTGTTGGGAAAGTAAGCTAGAAACTCCTCCATGAATGTGTAAATGTCAGTCACAAATGTTATTATTATATTTTGGGCACTGAGCTAAGCACTGGTATGGATCATTATCACAAATTAACACAAGACTAGTGTAAAATTTATTGATATAAGACACAGAAGAATTTATTGTTGACAAGGGAAAGCTTCATGGAGAAGCTAAGTGTGTGAATTGGTTCCTGAAAGGTTTTAAGAGGCTAAGAGGGGAAAAGGAAAATATTCCACATTAAGGGCATAGTATGGAGTAAAGGTATGATTCAGAAAATAGAGCTTTGGTCTTGGAGTTAAGACCTGAGTTTAAATTATGACTCTGATATTTATGAAAAAAACACAATTTGAATACTGAAGAAAAATTGTCAGGATTTCAGAAGACCTAGCAACTTCTACACTAAAAGACCATAGTCTTGGAACATTATGACTCTCAGCTTCAGTGACCTCATCTGTAAAATGGGTATGGGGAGTTGGATTGGGTGTCCTTTAAGTTTCCTTCCAGCTCTTAATCTGTGAATCTA